GCTATGTAACAAGAACAAATCTCAAGACATTTAGTGGTTTTAAAACAACACAGGCTAATTTCTTACTCAATCTACAAATGATCTGTGGGATGTTTGTGGGTGAATGTGTACCATTTAGTTCCTCCAGGATCTGAACTGATGGAGCAGCTGTCATCCTGAACTTTGTGGCTGTTGTGCAAGAAGTCTGGAGGTTGTTGTAGCAGCAATTAAATGCCTCTGCTTAGAAGCAACACTTGTTAGTTTTTCTTGTGGCCTTGAACTTGTTGGAAAGCTATACCCAAGAGGCCAGAGACTGCAATGGCCGTGTTTCTTACTAAAATAGAGCAGAATGAAGTGTCTGATGGACAGCACTGGGGACGAGCACACTTTCCATGTGTGTGAGTCCTTCCCCAGTCTCACATGTGCAAAGCTTCCCTTCATACTCTTACTGTGCTTCTGGAAGTTCTGTTTGTCCTTACTGCTTTTGCCTGGAGCCAGAGCCTAGCTTTCTCATTTAGATTGTAACATTAGCTTCTAATTCTTCTCTGTGCTTGATCCCTTTAAACATCACCTTCCCAACACTGTGGTCATTCCTGTAAGACTCTTAATAGTTCATTATCTCAATGTGATGCGTTCCAAACCTTTGCCATGAGCTAGCCTTCATGTCTGACCTCTGCTGCCTTCTAGCCTTCCTCCTGGTTCCCTGTGAGCTAGCCATGTTTAATTACTTGCTGCAAGGCTTGCCATGTCTTTTGTTCCCTATTACCACCCCTCTTTTTCCTCACAAATACTTTGTTCCAACCTAGAAAATCTTTAATCCTTCTTGAAGATTTTCAAGGATGCTTTTCCCTAAGAAATGCTTTCTAACTTTCTCAAATGGAATGATGACTGCTCCCTCAGTTTTAGCCAGCAGACCATCCTATGCGTATTGTTCTCAGAGCACACGGTTTGTATTTTTTAGATTTCATGCTTGCTTTATTTAAGTAATCTATGCACATTTTGATGGCAGGAACATGCTACTAAAGCATATGTTCTCAGACAGAATAATTATGCATTCTTGGCACTTGGGGAATGTGAAGTAAATGTGTTAAACACATCCAAAGACACAAAGATAAAATCACACCACCAAAGGAAGATTCTTCAGGCATATAATGATCTATCTATCTATCTATCTATCTATCTATCTATCTATCTATCTATCTATCATCTATCTATATCTATCTATCTATCTAGTATCTATATATCTATCTTTGCATGTATGTATGTATGTATGTATGTATGTATATATGTATATATCTGATAGGGGATGTCCCTCTGTATGCTGTGAATATATATTTTTCTTATTGGTTGATGAAAAAAGCTGTTTCACCCAATGGACAGGCAGAATTAGCCAGGTGGGAAATCCAAACAGGGATAGAGAAAGGTAGTAGGTGGTGTCAGAGAGAGATGCCATGTAGCTACCAGGAAGGCAGGATTCCTGGGCCTTCTCTGGTAAGCCAAGAGCATGTGGAGATACATAGATTAATAGAAATGGATTAATATTTAAGAGAGAGCTGGCCAATAAGAAGCCTGAGCCATCAGCCAGTACATAATTGATATAAGCCTCTGTGTGTTTATTTGGGTCTAAATGGCTATGGGACCAGGCAGGGCAGAAACTTTCATCTAAATCTATCTATTGTTCAGAGTGACAGTTGTGTATTATGTGTGAATGTTGGTGTCCTAACCCTGCTCTTGGGAAGGTTAGCCATCATAAAATTCAATTGCCTTCTCTGTGATACTCTTTGAAGAATGCTTAAATGGTTTTACTCATTTCATGGGTGGCTAGAAGGTCAACTCACTGATGCTTCTAGTGAAGGCTCTTAGCAGCCAGTAGTAGTTCCTTACTGCAGATAGAACAAGTGATCATGCCCTTGGTATCTTTCAGCATGCCTCTGTTATCTTAGAGTCCTGAAGGTCAGAAATACAAATTAGGATTTACTGGACAAAATTCCTTCTGGAAGTCCTAAGGAGCAATCCATTTCTTTGCCTTTTCTAATTCTAAGACTGTCTCATGGAGTCTTTCTCGTATTTTATAGATGACACACACAGCTTTATGCTTAGAAGGCCCCCCGTGAGTATATTTGAGTCTGTTGAAAAATCTAGACTATTGCTCCAACTTTAGATCCTTAGTTTAATTGCATCCTCAGTGCCCCTTTGTCATGTAAGGTGTACAAAGCCATCGGCCATAGGTTCAGAGAACCGGATGTACCCATTTCAGAGGAAGCATTATCCTGCCAACTTCTGTGCTCTTTCTAATTTTAAATCATTGTTATCAAGTGGCAATTATCATTAGGGCTACAGTTACTTCTTAGACCTTGTTAAATTGTTTTTGTTTTAGAGCCATACATCCTTGATGTAATTTACCATCTACTGGTATTTAGCTTGAAAGAGCCATGGTGCTTTCACTCCAAAAGTGTGTTAAATGCTTAATCTTTACAATTTAGCCATTTTGTGATGCTGGGGAACACACTATGGTAATCGAAAATCGAGATTTAAAACTATCTTAATAGTACTAAGAAAAACATTCTGTCGTTGCACAGAAATGACTAACAGCTATTGAGACAGGACAACGAGCTAAGAGCTGCTTAAGTGTTTATAAACAAGCACTGACTAGTGAAGTCTTCACAGTGAGCCTCTCAACTTTAGAGTGCTTCTATTTTTCCTTATTTCATGATACTTGAGAGTTTGCCCAGCTAACGGTAAGAAGTGGCATAGATGGGATTTTAGTGTAAGGTGAGCAGGCTGCAGACATTATACTGTTAACTCCAGCACCCGAAGATCAGAACGGACACAAGGATGGGTGACTTTGGGAGAACACACTGAGTGCTCTGGGCTCCTAGTGCTCAGCATCTCTGCACTCTTTGTTGCGGCCCTGGCTGAAATCACTTAGTATAGTTGATGTCTCATTTTTATGTTTTTGAAAAAAGCTTACTAGGTGGCGACCAGCTACATTGGGAGTGTTTGGTTTCCAGAGATACTTAAAAACAAATTTTCTAAGAAGCTCTAACTTTTAAAAGTGCATCCTTCAAGCCCCCCCCCCCCAGCCCCTACATCTGTTCCATTACTCTTCTTTTCCCTTCTCCCCTTTTTCTTCTCTTTCCCCTTCTTCCTAAATATCCTTCGGGAATGTCAACTTCAGCAACTGTCTAACATTATCTTTCTCTCTATTCTCACAAACTGCTTTGACGCACAGAGCTAAGGGCCAGGAAACTGCTTGTTATTTTAAAGAAATGTGTTTTTCAAGTTAGTGTTTTGTGCAAACACCATCGTTTCCATGGACTTCTTAGGCCACTCAGATGCTAGTAGCATGTTCACCACCACGGTGAGGTTAAAAATATAAGCAAGATTATTAATAAGACTAATGATTACAGAAATATTAAGAACAACTGTTGAAGCAGTTCATATGGCAAGGAACCGATTTTAGTAGGATTACTCAGGCATGTAGATGTAAGGAATAGGCATGTGCTGGAAGACTGTTGATGGCGCTTGCTGCCTATTCAGAGTTAGCATGGTAAGAATCCACTTAGTGGATCTTTTTTATACAGCCACATTAACATAAATATCAGAAAAGTCTGTGCAGAAATAAGCAAAGAAATGGAGTCATTAATATAGAAGTAAAATTGCAAGTGATGACAAAATATATGAAGTTAGAGTCAATGAACTCAGATTATTAACTGGTTGTAGTCACAGAGAGTCGCATGTGAGATTATTGAGCTTTTGCAATGCATATTATGTAATAATGAAGCTTAGATGTGCATTTTTTGTGATCTGTGATAGATTCTGAATCATTTGAAAATTGAAAACAGTGGAATAAGTTCCTTGCGTCTCTATGTGAACCCGGCATTTCCTCACAGCCACTCAAGGTTGAAGAGTGTGTTACCTGCATCATGAGGCTTGCTTTGTTTCCAGGTTTTATTTAGAATCCTTTGGCAGCTGAAGCTGTTGACCTTCGTTAGCCAGGGACAGCTGCTTTGCTATTTTGATTTTGAGTTAATGTTTTCCTCATGCAGAGAAAACTTTCTTTTTCATAGACAGATAGTAAATATTGCATTTATGTTTCCTTTGTGTTTAATGGTCCATGGGACTATGTAGAAAAGCGAGGTCCAATTAGATCCTTCACTGTAAGTGCTTTTTAGAAAAAACTCTCCCTGGGTGTTTCTAAGGAAGGGCTAACTAATATCACATTCGCTTGCTGTCATTGTTGGCTTGACTACAGTGCTGTGCTCTCAAAGTACAGTCTACCATCTATGCCTTAAAAATTCTGCCTAAAAACAAACAAGGGAGTTATCAATAATCTTACATGTGATTTTATGTTTTGTGAACGTGACAGGTTAGTTAATAACCTGAGTTTATTGACTCTTATATTTATGTTGTTTTGATTAAAGATGATAATCATTTACCTTCTCCATTTATTGTGTGCTTTATTTGGAGTTTAATTCTTTTTGATTTCTGTGCTATTTTGTGGTAAGTTAGTCTGGTTATTTTTGCTTATCCCCAAATTTAATTAAACCCTGGAGATACATACGGCTAAAAGCAAGCAGGTTTTTCTGCCTTTGGGTGGCAGGTACAGTAGAGAGCCATGTGGAGTGTGTGTCCTGGGTCAGGACCATGAGACATGGAGAAACTGAGACAGTGGGAAAAGAACACCATTGGACTCACTGTGTGTTATTCCTGGAGAGTCTCAGCTGGGATAGAATTGCCCCACATGCTTTGTTCCAGATACAGCTGTACATCTGCAGTACCAGAGAAAGCGAGGTTCCCTTGAAAGCTGCCTGATTCATGAGAGAAGAAACAGTCACTCACCACCGTCCCCATGAAGATGGTGGTTCTAGTGGCTGTTGTCTTGGTTTTTTTGTTTTCCAGGGTAGGGTGATAGATGGGCAAATAGCACTAACATTTTCTTAATGTTTTTTTATGAGTAATTTATGAGTAAATACTTTGACAAATGTTTAAAATAAATATGTATATATTTTGTCTTTCAGGAACATTAAAAAAGGTTTATTTTAAATCAAATGGCAGTGAACCTGTAGTCACTGATGGTGAAGTTCAAGTGCCTGGTGTTTTCTTTGTAAATACAGTATATAATGAGAGCACAGGAGCACCCATTATGCCCCCCAACCGATCCACTCCAGCCTGGACACCTAGGACACCTCCTCTCTCGGGGGACCAGAGCCACAGGAATACAAGTAAGTCTGAAGTTGCTGAACATGAATGCTTGTGTATCTGTGACAACTGATGCTCTGAAGAAGTCACACTCACAGGTCACACAGTGAGAGCCGTCCATTCAGAAAGCCTAGCCAAGTGCCCTGCCCTTTAAATCAGAAATGCCAACAGCTCTGCAGGCAAGACTGAGATGGGGTAGGAAACACGAATGACTCATCATTTCTGAGCTATAGCCCTTACTAAGAGTTGCTTGCCTCATTATGAGCCTTGTGCTAAAGTTACTTATTTAGAAGTATCAAGTTCATAAGTGCGGTCACTTAGTGTGTTCTCAGGAACTTGCTGGAGGGACTCCCCATCTATACAGGAAGAGGACAGCATGACTAAAAACTTACCCCAGTTCGCTGTAGAGGTGTGCCTATGTTCTTTGTCTCTTGCCTCCATCTTTTATTAGCAGTGACAGTTACTTGACAACTTGGTGACTGAAAACAATCACACCTTCAAGAAAATGGCAAGTGCTGAATGCCTGCTGGGTGAATTTTAAGGGAGGAGTTTGTTAGTATTGCCAGAAAAAGAGCTGGGCCAGAGAGAAAAGAGAACATGGAGACATACTCTGGAATGTGACTTGGTCCCTAAGCAGCAGAGGCCTTTAGTAAAGTTACTCTACTACCAGAAGGCCTGGTGGGATGGGTTTATGTGCAAAGGCCTTCTCAAAAAATACAAGAGGTATGAAACCCTTTTCTGAAGTTGTTCTGCCTCTTTTTTTAAAAAATTCCTTACAGCAAGGTGATGTAATTCAGAATGATATCAAACTCATCCATCCATGATCACATTGCTTCCTCTCTCACCATGACACACCCACAAGAAGAAGTCACATCTTAGTCTGGGCCATAGTGCTTATTTTCATTCTGAACCAGGAAGGGAAAGCTTAAGTTGACTTTTAGCTATCAAGATGTGGATTTGCCATTGCTTGAGAAAAAGCAGAATTATTTTGTTATTCCAAATTCTGAAAAGACAGACTGATTAGATTTTACTATTTCACAGTGTACCCGCAGGCATTTAGCCATCTTTTAGACTGTTCACCAGTGATCCAGGCATGCTTATGACAGCAAGACAGCAATATTACAAAGCAGAATTATGTCACATTGAAATTACTTTTCTCAAGAGTTTAATTTTGAGGTATCATATTTTGCTCAAGCACTTCATTACTCCCAAGGATGGCATTCTCCATCAGAAGTGAAGAAGTCATTACATAAAAACAGCTCAGTTAATGTGGTTGCAATTACAGCCACTGTTCTTCTGCTCCTCTAAGTGTCTTTGTCTGTAGTTTTGAAGGTCTGTCATTTATTAAGATTCAAATAAGTTTGATGAACACATACCTTGGAGAATAAAAAAACAAAACAACAACAATGGAAAAAAAAACCAAAACAAACCAAAAAGCAAAACACAGGGTGCTTGCTATTCAGTTTGGAATTTTGATAGAACTCTGACTTTTTTTCTTCCCCTGACTAGATATGAACTTATTTTGACACATAGATGAAATCCAGGTAAAAATACAATGATTACATGAATAGACACTGAATCCTTTGACACTTTGCACATCTGTGTTGCTCTTGGGCCTTAATGCATGGTACTGGCCAGGGAAATTCCCCATACACTGTGGCTATTCGCTGGAGCCATTGGCCACCAGGAGCTTCTGTTTCCAAACACTCTAATGAAAGTGCCAGTCTCAGCTCATGGAAGGTTTGATGGTTATCAAGGCACATTTAGAAGTGATTCCCATAATGAACTGATGACAGTCACAGGATGGGTAGGCACATACTTCAATTTTTAAGGCATAAGATCAAATTGACATGTCTAGTATTATTTGCTTGGTAAATAGGTGACTATGAAGCCTCAGATCTCAGGACTCCTGGGTCAGTGCTCTCTGATGATTCTGGAGAGAATTTTTATGTTTCCTTTGCAGTGTTCAGATCATTACTGCACATATCTCTGAGAGAATAGAACAACTCAGCTACTTTAGCCTTTTTTTTGGTCTTCTTTGGTTTTACTGATAGATAGTCATGGTATTTCAATACAAAAGTGATTACTTGAATGAATAGGTGAAGTATATTCACTGAAAAAATGTGAACAGAGGTCTTGTCACACTTTTTAGTGGCATCTGATCACACTTCTGATACTTGATTTTGTTTAACCAACTTTAAAGTGTCATTTAGTGTTTTCTTTTTATATTAACATCTTGCAATAAAACTGTTTTTCCTTTTTCCCTGTTTTGTTACTGTTCTCCAACTAAGAGATTTAAAATAAATTTTTCTGGCATATGTGAAATCTATTTAGGTGTACTTTGGTCCCAAAATACCATAACCAGACATTCTACCTGGATTACTTGGCCAGCTCTTGTTCATAGGTAGTTAGAAATAGTCTTCCTCCAAGATACTTCCTCCTGGGGGAGCCTCATATCATGCTAGAGATGAGAATTCTGCAGTTACAAAGTTTTGACTAGAATATACCTCATAACCGCCTCACCAAGTGCACCCCAGGTTTCTTTTTTTTTAATTTAATTTATTATTTTACAATGTCACTCCCAGTTCCTTCTCCCTCCCTCCTTCCTTCCCTCCCTTTTACCCTTTTTGCCCCTTCATGTGCACCCTGACCATCCTCCCATCCCCCCACCCCAATTCCACATGTAGGGCAATGCCATCCAGGTGGGGTCATGTAGATCAGACAGGTCATGTGAAGTAGGGACTAGGGCTTCTCTCCTGTCTCTAGATTAAGGCAGTTATCCCTCCATGGGAAATGTGTTTGCAAAGTCCTTTTGTGCACCAGGGATACATCCTGGTTCCACTGTCTGAGGTCCCTTAGACTGCTCAGTCCTTCTGGCTAAGGCCCATATTCAGGGGGGCCTGAGTCAGTCCCATGTTGGATTCCCAGCTATCAGTCTTGGGGGGGGGTGTTAGCTCCTCCTTGTTCTTGGTCAGCTGTCTCTATGTGTTTCTGCAACCTGGTCTCGTCCTTTCCCTCTGCATCTGGATTCTAGTTCGACTCAGTGTTTAGGTATGGGTGTTTGCTTCTGTTTCCAACAGGTATTAGATGAGGGCTCCATGGATAAGTTAGTTGTTGATCTCACTCTCCGGGGAGGGCATTTATGGTAGCCTTTCCACGGAAGCTCAAATTGTTAGTTGGCAGCAGTCTTGTAGGTCTCTAGACCTTTCTTTAGGTTCAGTTTTCTCTTCAAACCAATAATGACTCCCTCTTTTATGTTCTCTCTCTCTCTCTCTCTCTCCTGTCTTCTATTCCTACCCTGACTCAATCTTCCTAGTCGCACGTGCTTTCCTGTCCTCCCCCTCTCTTTCTCCTATGTTTCTCTCCATTCGCTGACCCCCCCACTTCCCCTGAGCTCTGGGGGACTTGTCCCTTCCCCCTTCTGTGAGGGACTTTATATGAATCTTTTAGAATACACCTTGTATCCTAATTCCTCTGGTGGTGTGAATTATAGGCTGGTGATCCTTTGCTCTAGGTCTTAAATCCATATATGAGTGAGTACATACCATGTTCCTCTTTTTGTGACTGGGTTACCTCATCCAGGATGGTTTCTTCAAGTGCCATCCACTTGCCTTCGAATTTCAAGATTCCATTATTTTTTTCTGCAGAGTAGTATTCCATTGTGAAGATGTGCCACATCTTCTTTATCCATTCTTCAATTGAGGGGCATCTAGATTGCTTCCAGATTCTTGCTATTACAAATAATGCTGCTATGAACATAGTTGAGCAGATGTCTTTGTTGCATGGATGTGAATCATTTGGGTATATGCCTAAGAGGGGGATTGCTGGGTCCTGTGGTAAACTAATTCCCATTTTCCTGAGGAACCACCATACTGATCTCCAAAATGGCTGTATGAGTTTGCACTCCCACCAGCAGTGGAGGAATGCTCCTCTTTCTCCACATCCTCTCCAGCATGAGTTGTCATTGATGTTTCTAATTTTAGCCATTCTGGCAGGAGTAAGGTGGTATCTCAAAGTTGTTTTGATTTGCATTTCCGTGATAGCTCACCCCAGCCTTTCTTAATGTGAGATTCCTTGATGTGATAGGCTGTACTTCTGGGGTTTTCTTACCATCTCTGTGAACTCCAAGGGCAATATAGAGAAGGAAGCGACCCACCCTAAACTTTAATGCTGTATTTCAGCACGAGGTTTTCTTAAGTTGCATGCTATATCTGGGTTTCAATTTATAACGTTTTCTCTTCATATCTAAGTGTTTAAACACATGTTGAAAGAAAGGAAAAAGTGGCTAATAAGAAGTCTGGGATCACACACAGCATGGTTTATGCTAAAGTAACCTATGTGCTCTGGTCAAGTGTTTGAAGGTGGATCAATGTTCTGAGAACTTGAAGTGTTCTGTACTCTGCTCAGATCTCTGGTAGCTAGTCACTCTAGATATTCTATTTCAGATAAGAGCACATCTTCCTTTTCATGCATTCCCTTCATAAAAATTACAAAATTATAGCTTTTACAAAGCAAAACCGAAGGGAAAGGACATGAAAGTGACACGGGAACTCGATGGGGGTAATGGTGGGGTACAAAAATGAGTAAGAGAGAAGGAGGGATGTCTGTGAGCAGAATGCATTCTATACAAGGATCATATTGTCAAAGAATAAATCAGTAAAGAAAGGAACTATTCCAAAGGTATTATCAACACAGTAAGTCCACCTTTTCAATGTGTATGATTTAGTAGTTTTTAATGTATTTATACAATTTACAAAGTTGTGCAATTATTACTACAACCTAATTTTACTTTTTTTTGCTGCAAAAAAAAATGCTCTGTTGCTCTGTATTCCCTTTTAATGCAGTCCCTAGCCTAAACTAATTTAATTATCTCTCCACGAGTTTGCTCATTTTGAAGCTTGAAGGTGTGTCTAGCCTGAGGCCCATGACCTGCATCTGGCCAAAGGTATCTATGAATGTGCCTGAAAATTGATGGCCATCTTTGCAGTTCACCCCATTTAGCATTTTATGAAATATATTTTTT